CACTGCCTTGTAATAGCGGGAGTGAGTTATGAGCTGCAGCAGGGACATCTGGAGAAGAAACTCATTACAAAAGCCTACCAGACCTTTCTGATGTATCATGGCTGGGAACAGGGTTTCATTCCTGCATTTACATTTACTCTCTGAGCTAGCTCCCGCCCTGCCAAAGTCCTAAACCTCCATGTCCAAAGCACTGCTGGTTATCGCTGCAGGGAGCCAGGCTTCACACCTACACATTTATAAAATATATATATATATATATACACACATCCTCCAGGTAAAAGGGTCTTCCCACTGCACAGTTTTGTCAAATGATTGTCCATGCCGCTCGGTCAGGCTACAACAACATCACTCTTCCCACGGACTCATATCTGTGTCGATGGCCACGCAGTTATAGGCTGCATACCGTAACTTCTCTTCACAAACCTTGGCTCTAGGGATGATGGGGGGTGGAGGGAAACACAAACACAAGGAGGAGTTGCCATTGCTGTATCCGTCAGCTGAGATGACGGGATGCTTTATGAGATGGAGGCTATGCCTCAACAACGCCTGACGTAGCACAGGGGGGCTTAAGTGTGGCAAAGCGATAGGGTCCTGTGGGTCAGCATCAGGCCGAGACGAGAGCCCAGATGCACAGTTTACCACATATAGGGAGCAACACAACTTACGTGGCGTAGTTGGGCAAGAAGAGAGTGCTGGAGCAGGTGGAGGACTCTGGCAATGCATCCGTCGTCTCAGAGCTTGGGGAGAAGGTAACAAACCCGTCAGACGCCAGCAGGCCAATGAGGCAGGGGAGACTGGGCCACAGATCCCCTTTGATACGGTTTCCATCAGCCTTTCAGCTTAGAGAAGAACAGACTCACCCCAGCTTGTCTGGATAGATGTAGATCCGTGCTGGAAGGCGGCTTCTGCCAGTGACAAACCTGAGGAAGCGGCTGCGATCCTCTGTGAAGAGAGGGCAAAGACAACAGCTGATCCCAAGGACATGTGAGAGGAGTTCAGCCACTTCCAAGTATCTCTAGCACTGGTGAGGAGTTGGCCTTTCAGCCCAGTGGCTTGCTCTACTCAGCTTCCATCTGTTCCCCAGGCAGTGACAGGTGTTGTTTCCCTCTCCCAGTTTGCAGACAGCACCCCAGGGCTGGCATGACACAAGATGACATGCAGGAGCAGAGCAAATCACTCACCATTGGTGAAGTTGTTGAGCGCTTCCCAGAAGTACTGAACCCGGGTATCCATTGGCTCAAAGTCCTCAAACCGGGCTGGAAGACAGGATACAGAAAAGGAACTTGCTAGAGGCATCCTAGGCTCTTCCCCTGAAAAATTACAGCAGGGCTTCCCCTGCTCCCCGACAGGCCCTTCGCCAGAACAGGAAGAAACTTCTAGATGTCGGCAGGGTGTCAGCACACAGACCCAGGGTGCAGGGACACACGCACTCAAGTTCTCCCCAGAACGCACATCCAGATCCAGATTTCAGCTCCAGAGAGGCTCAGACACTGGGAACATCGGGACACCCTAGCCTCTCCTCTGGAGCCCAGCACAGAGGCCTCTCCTCTGGAGCCCAGCAGAGCACACCCCTACCCCCATCAGCACCCAGCTAAGGGCAAGAAGTACACAGGCCCACTTTCTCACTGCAATAAAGGATAACGTATCAGTTTCCTACACCTCTCTTCGTCCCAGCAGGCAGAGAAGACCATCATCTCACTTCCAGGAAAATGGTTTTCAGTGGAGCCTTTCACTTACTGAGCTTCTTCAAGGCATCAACTGTGACTTCTGGGTCTCCACAGACTTTCTT